TATATATATATATATATATATATGTGTATATATAACTTCAATACAACTACAGAAATACATCACAGCATCTTCTTACTCAGTTTAATAATTGTTCTTGGCACAAACGATCCCTTCCTACACCTTTTTGCTAGGTAGAGGCATGCAATCATGTTGTCCTAAGGGCATTAATTAACGGACAGCAACAACAGACCGGGCTTTTCCTTAAGACAGCCTGATGATACAGCTTCATCATTTTTTTTCCCTCCAGTTCTTACAACCCTGTTCAGTTTGCCCCTGATTACCACATTGAGATATTGGATATAAGGACACTTTCAATCAAGCTAACAAACTCTTTCCAAAAACATTGTGGCTAACGCCAAAGCCTCTTAACACCCTGATCTCTGATTAGCTTTCTTGTAAATGGAATCAATATATGTTTCCAGATTTAAAGCGAATAACAACTTGCACAGACTGACAAGGAAGTGAAACACCTTTTACGGGGCCTGGGTCATTCAAGACATGCTGTTTCGACAACATTAATCAACAAATGAGCCTTACACAATTCTTCCAGCCTGCGTACCTCAGCAACCTAGCCTAGTAAAAACAATAAAACCTACAAGTGCAGATATAGGTCACATTTTTTTTGGCAGGCTCTCATTTTTTCCACATTCCTTCAAAGGCATGTTTGAGTTGGTTTCGGGATTAAAGGACTCATTTTGGGTAAGTTCAGTACCTGTCGGTGATGGTTAAACGTAGAGGTGACGTATACTCTCCACACAGAGTGGAGCAGAGCACAGTCACCACATGGGAAACATTCAAAAACTCAAATGCTATATGTATGACAAATATGACAAATGCTCATCTAAACAAGTCATCTCATCCACTTCAAACCTGCCAAATTTGAAGTGGATCAGATCAAGTGTAGTCGAAGCAGGCAAAGAACCAACAAAAAGGCAGATTTTTAAAAATATGTATTAAAAAGCTGAGCAGAAATTTGTAGTAAAAATCTGTCTGTCTGTTCTTTGTTTCAGAATAAGGACGTTATCCTTCTGCCATCCCATTCTGCCTTATCACGCATTTCATAACGCCCACGCAGGATCTGTTTTTTTAAAGTCTAGCACAACCTGTCTTCCTCTCCCAGAGGGGAAATCCCAACAAACGAGGGCTGTTACAGGGGAGTGGTTTGCTCCAACAACAAATTAAAGTCATCCAGAGCTTGAGCTTTCAGTTATATGCAGGTGTTCAGTAACAAAACACAGGTCTTCATCCTGCAGATGCGCAGAACTTGACAGGTAAGCCTCTGGAACCTAAGAGGAAGTTTTCTGTTTAATGTAGTAACAGGACATATTTAACAATAATCTGCTTTAATTGAAGAGTACTTAGTTCAAATTTGCACTGCGTTTGGGACTGAGTGGTGTTAAAAGGCAGCATTGTTCATAAGTTTGCTTATGTATTCAAACTGTAAAGTTCATTTGCATATAAACTGATCGCCGCTAATCTTTTATGTTTCTAAATAGGCTTAAATCCAACTGCTTTTAGAGCCTTTTTTCTTACTTTAATACTTTAATGTACTTTATTTGCATATAAATTTGTTTTCAGTGTTTTAATTTCGACTTTCACCTTGAGCTGCAAACATAAACTAGTAGAATTTAGGTGGCTTTAGTTGGAATAAATGTTTTGCAGTTATGCATAAAGTAAAACCTTTATTTTGAAATGCTTAACAGACACACCTCAGTAACCCTGTGTAGGAGGAAACCAGTTGCGGGGCATTTTGTGCTGCAGTTGTTCCTTGTTTCTGATCCTGCGTTTACAAGCAGAAAGGTGAGCCACCTGTACATGTTTCACTATCACACACCTGCTGTTTGTTTTTCATAAAATTTATAGTAATAGGCAGTTTACCCTCCAGGTTGTGTGTGTGGAGGGAGCAGCAGAGAAAACTGACAGAGAACGCTAGCTGAGAATCAGTGAATGACTCCGTAAACATGCTGGATTCTAGAGGGATTGAAATCTCAGGAGGCCAGACTCTGCTGGCCTCTCACTTCGGCTCGAGTTTCAGAGGTGAGTTTGTGTAATTTCAGTAAACTGATAACACATTCACTGCTCTAAAAAGTCTGAAACTCTAACCTCACACATTGTTTTGCCTCCAAACACCTTATTCCACCTGTTTTATTTTTCGAGATTCATAGAACGAGGAAGTCAGACAGACTTGGGAATGTTAAATTAGTCGCACTGTTGACTTTGTGTGCCAGGCCTAAAGCACACCACATGACTAAATGCTTACCTAATCAACCGAGAGCTTTTATTGATAAATGAACTTTACCCCCTTACTGCATGCACTGTTTCCTATTTTTCACTGAAGAATAAATACCTGATGCTTTATGCGGTGGCACATATTTACAGTGCGTGAAAGACACAGTGTGTCTTTCATGTCCAGGCTAGTAAAACTTCTAATTTCCCTACAGGGTGCTCATTCATCGATGTGAAGCCGCCACCGGTGAGAACTGTGAAGCAAATGCTAATGATGAAACGTAAAAATCTACAGGTATGGCCCTGAGTGCAAGTAGACCAGTAAAGTACAGAAAATAGAACATATAGAAGGCTTCATCTGAACTCTTTATAAAGGTGCACATGAGCGTGTAAAGTCTTGAGTTATGGCAGTGCTTTGAGTTCCTCCAGTATGAGGAAGAATTGGCAAAATTCAGAGCCAAGTACAAGTTGTTGAGAAAAGTCTGCATGTAAAGGCAGCCCAAATGAGTGTGTTTATTATGAATAATAACAACCCATAATAAGCCAGTTATTAATATTCCTAGTAAAAGTTGACATTGATCCTCTTGTATTAACAGAACTGCTCACAGGACAACTACAATTTGGAGCATAAACGCATGTCTCCAAAATACGAAACTTCTCCCACTGGTGTGAATCATCATCAGTTAAGCCCTCCAGTGCCTGTCAGTCAAAATACCACCACCCTGTTTCCAACTGCTGCTCCTGAAAATGCTCCAATGAAACAAGAGTTTCTCGTAAATCAACAAATGCAGCACAGCTTCGAGTATCCACCCCTGCACAAACAAAGGACCCCGTCTCCTGAAGGCAGGATGACCTTGTTTCAATGGCAAATACAGCAGGAGGCACGCAAAGTTGAAGGAATTTCCCTAGAGCAGCTGTCCATGCAGGACTCAGATGGTGACACGTATGTATACATGAACGAAAGCATTACCCTGACCAGTGGTTAGTTGAATAAAGATCAGTGTCATAGAATTAGGTGAGAAGATTAAATAGTAAACTAAAAAGTAGAGATACAATTGTATGGGCAGACAGAGCTAGGTCAAAGTAAAAAGCTACATGGGTGAAACTACTAAAAGTCAAGGCTGATTAGCTGTAACAGGTTAAAGTAACAGAACAGTGGAAGGCTAAATAGCACCCCCCCAGCAAATGTATAGCTAAATGGTTAAAAGCTAAAAGGTTCCAATATCTACAGTTATCCGGTAAAGTGACAAAAATATGAAAATAAGCTAATGGATCATTGATTTTTAAACAGTTAGATAAACATATTGGGTGAAGAGTTTACAAAGACAAAAGCAAACAATTGAAACGGATCAAAATATTCAAATGGTTGGGGAAAAGATGATTAAATGGTTATAATATGCAAAGGTAATGGATAACAGGTTGGAGTGGTTGGAAAACAGGTAGAGAAGTCACACGAACACTAGGTGAAAGTTATTGTTTTTAGGGTAAACAATTAAGCAAAAAAAAAAAAAAAAACGCAGACAAAGGTGGAAATCATTGAGGAGCAAATGGAAAATAGCTCTAACAGGCCTACTTGGCTAAAAGTGCAGAATAATTATTAGAAATCACACAAATGTACAGTAAGCCTGACCCAAATACTATGAACAGCATTTCTGTGGATTTCTGCTGCAGCTGACCTTTTTACTCCTTCCACCAGATTCCTTCACATAGCAGTAGCAAAAGGTCTGCGTGCTCTGGCTTACGTGCTCTCTGCAAAAATGGCTGGAACTTGCTTTCTGGACATTAAAGAACACAATGGGCAGGTAAAGACATTCAGTGGCTTGTGATTTATGGTGGTTTTCATACATCAAGACACATTAACCTGTAAGCTGTGTTTCCACAGAGCCCTCTCCAGATCGCGGCTACCACCAATCAGTACTTAATTCTCCAAGACCTCATGGCTCACGGAGCTCAGGTCAACACGAGAGACTGCTGGGGCCGTGCTCCTTTGCATGTGTGTGCTGAGAAAGGCCACTATCTCACTCTGGGGGTAAGAAATCACTATCAGTATTTACCTACCTACCTGCATATGTATATATAGATTAAATGCTGATTAAAAGTTAAAGCATAAACTTAAAGTTGACCTCTTTAGGCTTCAAATATTCACTAATTTAATCTAAATCATTCCATTGCTAAGCAGTGCAAGATTATACTGTCTAGCAACTTTTCAGAGTATTGCTTTGGATCAACACGAAATTTTTAAGTTAGCTTTAAAAATTCTCAAACTTTAATTGCTGCTATCAAATACAAAGTGGCTATACAGTGTAGACATTTACCTAACAAGCGAAATTCCCTGCACTAATCCCTTTGGGATTGCATCAGAACGGCATCTGGTGTTCTTGTTGACGCAAAATAAGAAAAATATTTGTGGTTGTTTCTATAGCAACAACAGGCTTAAACACACAAGTTTAAGATGTAAAAAAGGTGATTGTTCAGAGTATAGTATTCCCATGATACAACAGTAGGACAAAGTAACAGATACTGTTGTATCTCCTAGCGAGATGGGAGTGGCACACCTGTCTCACTATTGCCCCAATCCAGGGCGTGAAGCTCTGCTGGCAAATGACACCTTGTGAGTAAAGGAGCCACGCCCATGGAAAACGGCATTAGGTGATACCTGGGGATTGAGAAAGGCTGGCTAAACTCCAAACGCAGGATTCATTTCTTTTGTAAAACATAATTCAGCTTTCATAATAAAGTCTGAAGATTTTCACTGAAACCACACCAAGTCGTATAGATGACGACAGTCTTGCCACGTTTAAGCATCACAGGGCCAGAATTGGGACAGCTTTCCTCAATGGAGTGCTTACAAGTAGGGGAAACAGAACTTTCTGATTCTGAGCAGCAAAACCAGAGGGTTTAGTGTCAAAGAACTAATCAAATGTCATAACCTAAACAGGAGACAGATATCGGTGTAGGTCAGTAATCCAGTGGTCATTGTAGGCGCTGAAACTGGCAACTAGACATACTTCAGTTTTCAAAGCTGATCGGAGTCCCATATTTTTTAACCCCTAGTATGGTTACTACCGTAGAGTGTGTCCTGAGAATTGCTGACCCATCCCATTCATTGTTAAGAGTTAACAAGAGTTCTGCCATAAAGACAATATTTGACGTCCTCCCCTGTACCCCTATTGACGAGTTCTGACACTTCAGTATATATCATTAAATTCAAGGGTTACTCCTAGTAAGGTTTCTAGAGGGTAAAGAGTTAAGGCTGCATGATAACAAACCCACTAAAGGTTTAACCGAAGAAGGCTCTTGGATGACAGGTCTTCAAAAACAAGAAATTGAGTAAGTCTTTAAGTCTTGTCTTGAAGACTATAAAAAAAGAGGCCTTCATCTCAAGCCCTTAAGACAACAGAGATACACAACTCATCTTGTTAATGTATAACATGCGTATTGCTGAGAGTTAATGTGAAACACGTTGCCTGCTTCCTCAAATGTACCAGAGACCTTTGTCTTATCACATGGCGCCAAAATTAATAATAAACCCGGACTCTGATCCACTTCCCCTGCAACTGTGACAAATGTAGGCCAAATAACGTTTTGTCAGAATAGAATTTAGTGTTGCAGTCATGCTTTTTTTTTTTTTTAGTTGTATTAAGAATATTTTCTTAGTCTCACTCATATTTCCGCAGGGCATCTGGAAGGCCTTAAAAGGAAATGGGGAACTGATCGATGTAGAAATGTTCAGTTACGATGGTGAGTGTGTTTTTGTGTGACTGAAAACTTTAGGATGCTTAAATGCCTTTTTTGTGATTAAATTCTGTAATTTGTTTCTGTGTCTGGAAGGCTTGACTGCTCTTCATTTGGCCGTCTTGTCTCACAACAATGTTGTGAAGGATCTGAGGAACCTGGAAAATCCCTGCACATTCATGACCGCGGAGCTGGGGCAGCGAAAGCGCTTGTACTTTGAATGTATCAAGATTCTGCTGAACATGGGCGCCTCCTGTGGGACAAAGGTAAGTATTACCACTTCAGGGGAACATTTAGCTGGCTTGGTCCTGCTCCACACCAAACTGCTCGGGTTTTCCCCGTCTCTTGTGGTTTGGTTTAAGATACAGTGATCTAAATTTCCAATCTGGTTTTCATTTGGTTTATTTTTAATCTCTCCAGGATCTGAAAAGTGGGCGGACTTCTCTCCATATGGCTTCTGAGGAGGCAAATGTGGAGCTGCTGAAGATTTTTCTTGACCAACCAACAATGCTGTCCATTGTAAATGTTAAGGTATGCCTACTGTTTCATGACAAAGAATATGTTTAGGGTGGATTGCTGCCTTTTACAAGAAACCAGAGAGAAAGTTTCCCAGCTGTCACAGCTCCAAACTGCGCCCATAAAAACTACACAAACAGTAACATGTGGTGTCTTGTCCACTCCTTTCAGACGTTCAGTGGAAACACGGCACTGCACATCGTCAGCTCTCTGACCAATCACAAAACTCAAGCCGAAGCGGTGAAGCTGCTTATGAGAAAGGGAGCCGATCCTGGGATTAGGAACTTAGAAAATGAGCTGCCGTCTCAGCTGGTACCTGAAGGTCCTGCTGGGGAAAAGGTAAGGGTGTCACTTCACATACATGCTGGAGGAATTGCAGATGGCACTGTTTACTGACTGAAATCAAAATCAAATTTTTTTCCTGCAGGTGCGACAGATCCTGAAAGGAAAACATGTTAATGCTTAAATAAAGCTGAAGAACACTGTCAGTCAGACAGTTGAGTATGATAAATATGATTTGCCAAACAAGGCAGATGGTGGTTGTTTCAGTGAAACATGTCGAGTTGTTCATTACGGTGTAATGCTTACAAAAAAAAAGAAAAAAAATTGTACTTATGTAAAATTTTTGTTACTTTTATCAAGTAGGGTCAGTGTGATTATTCTTTACAGGTTTTAAGAGTTTGGAAAGGAATCTTGGGGTTGTTTTTTTTAATTTTTGAATATTTTAGCACCAAGTGAAATCCTTTTGTTAATGCAGTGGAAAATATTTACCCATCTCATCAAGAGATAGTACTTTGAAAGGTATCAAATGATTTCTTTTTCCCCCCGGCATATTGGGCCAAAATGTAACAACTGGTGCATCCCTCATCAAATCTACACTTAATTTTCTAAACTTAAATCTTTGTAAGAGTTCTGATCTTAAATATCTAGGTAATGTTTTGATAATGATATGCAAAATGTGGGAAAAAAAAATCATTGAACCAACTTTTTTCTAACTATGCAATTACACTGTGTTGTTTTTGTCTTCATGACTGTGTGTTATTGTAAAGGTAACTATTGTGATGTGTGAATTGTCTTGTTTTACATTTTTAGTTAAGCTTCAACTTTATGGTTGTAAATAGGAGGGGTGATACAGAATTCTGGGACTCTGCCTCATATACATATAAAAAAAATCAAACAGGCATGATTTAAATTTGGGCAATCACCTGTTAATGTCTTATGTGCATCTCCAACACATTGTGGAAAACCTCCAACTCCAATTTTGGAGAAATGGACGAAGTCACCTGGAGGAATATTTGACTAATATGGTGCCGAATCCCAGAATTTTTACTACAATTTCTAATTTTCTAAACATTTTTTTAATGTTACTGCATGTGATTTGCATTTTCTCAGTACTTAAAAGTAATGAAGTACACAAAACATTTTAGGATTTGTTGCTGTTAATGATGAAATGTCAGAAATCATGTACAGAGGGGAAGGTGGTGGTTACAATCTGTCCAAGGACTGATTTTCTTCAAACAATGATGTAATCACTGTCAAATATAAATATAGAAAAAAAAAAAAAAACAAGCTGGACAACAATAAAGTCTCTTAGTCTTGGCAATTTGGCTCTAAGATCCTCTTTGTCCTTCAAACTAGTTGACCCTGGAGTTTAAGCATGCTTCGGCTGAATTTATTTCTTCTTCTTCTCCTGTGTGGTGGTGAACCACTGGTCCAGCAGCTTCTTACTATAGTAGATCTGCCAGCCGTGAACCTGCACGGCGATGACGATCACCAGGTACATGACTGACACGGCGCTGAAGCCGAAAATGAAACGGTATGCTTTGCCGTGGCGATAGAGCTGCTGAGCCACGGGGAACATCTCCATGCTGCCGTAGATCAGTGGCGCCACGCAAAAGAGCCCGGCGCTGATCATGGAGATGACCAGGTAGCTGATGTTGTTACGGGGCAGTGCCAAGAAGCTGAAGACTGTGGGTATTATGCTCAGTAAGTAGGGGTACTCCCACTGGTATGGAGAGGCCACCACCTTGTGGGACACCAGGTTCAGCTGGCTTACCGTCACCTGAGAAAGAAATGAAAACACACTCAACTTTTACAGAACGTAAAACATGCTTCTGCACAAGAATGCTTACCTGAGCTGCCATCAACACCCAGATCAGCAGATGGACAATGTTGAGCTTACGGATTTCAGACTTCAAGGAAACACTGTGAACATAAAAGAAAGACCAATCAGATGTTAGATTTTAAACGACTCAAAATTTAGTGGATCAAAGTCTCCTAAATACAGAAACCTTTGCATAGCAACAAATCACTCACTCAGAAGAATCTCTTAGATATAAATTACTATATACTTATTTAAGCAGGCCGATGCTTCTGATGTCTCAGAAACAGTACTTCTCAAAAGGCTGTATTTGCTTTGGCTTGTCCATCCAGAAGGAGTATGAGCTTACGCAACTGCAAGAGGCCTGTGGGTCCATGATTCAAAAGAATCACGACTTCTCCTGCAGCATTACTCAGAATTTATTCAAGCTTACAATGATCACCTTGACCGACATTGTGCTCAAAGTCATATTTGTTGTTTTACAAATAATAACTTGTGAAACGAGATGAGATAATGACCACATCCCGTCCCAGGTCAGACAGGTTGTGCAGCGTAACTTTTCCTTTAAATGTTGATCACTAATACATACAACCACTGCAGAATCATCAGTATCTCTGTACGAGGCATGACCTGGACTTTTCCTGAAAGTTTGACGTGTATGAGCTGAACAGGAATGGAGGCAGCAGAGTCCCCATTGGAGCTTCTGCACATCACCAAATTAGATGAGGCACCACCCTAATTAGATATACTACCTTACAGACTGGCTGCAGTAAGTAGTCCATGAGATGCTGGACATGTTGACATGTTCCTGTAGCATCTGTCTCAGTAGCTCTTGAGAATAGTCTCTCCAGCTGATAGTTGTGACGCCAAATGAGATACTACTGACATTCTGGTTTTAGAACAGCTGTACTGCTCTTTTTAGCTTTTCAAATTAGTAGTTTAATACTTAAGAACAGTGAAGCTTGTTTTATTATTTGATTTGAATGATCAGGACTGTACACTGATGAAAGAAAGCCTTGAATGAACTGAGGTATACATTTTTATACTGTCATCTATATCAGTTTAGTTAACAGGGCCCTAGTTAACACTTAGCAGCTTTTAAACTAATTAAAACTAAAGTGATTCCAGATAAACACTACTAATGTTTAATTACTTGGGCACTTAAGTTAAAATATTAAAAAAATAAAATAAATATAATTCCTTAAGAGTTGAATTTGGGGATTATTGCTCATTTAATGACAAATAAATGAACCTCATCTGGTAGTGAGAGGCGACCCGCTCCCGGTGCTGGTAGTCACTGCCATCTGTGCCCGCTGCTCTTGGACCCGCCCGAGAAGCCATGATGGATATCTGAAGGCAAAACATGTCAGGTTTAACATCATCTAATGTCTAATTACACATCAGTAAGCCAGTCATTTCCAGCAATGAGCTGACTGCTCAGTCAGTCATGCAATACCGTTACTCTTATATTTTACACTTTAAAAGCTTCACGTTTGCGTTTGTAGAAGTGACAAAGCTCTAAAATGAGGGTGGAAGGGGACTTTGCTCTTATTAAATCACGGCATACAGGTGTTTAATTCATTAGTTATCTGCTAATGCTGCTAATGTGGCACGGGGAGCGTTTAAGAGTACGCTCCTGTTTCCCACTCTGCACGTCAGCTTAAATGTTTCAGAAGATACTTCGTTTTTACTTCAGCTGCCATGACTTATGTCGATAAGTTGAGTTACAAATTGTTTGGGAATGGCTAGGCTAGCAAGCTAATGCCTGTGAGTGATTCACTGCTACTGTAAGTCAAACAAAAGTAGTGTTAGCGAGAGATAAATACGAGTCAGACCACCGGCAATGGCATTATGTCGTCTGTTGAGACATCTGATATATACAACGGCACTTACCTTTTATTTTCTTCTACAGAATAAAAGCATTTAACCGTTAAAAACCTGGTTAACAACGGCTACAGAGCAGCTAGCTGGCCAGCTTCATACAAGGAAAGAGGGATGACAGACAGAATGTATGACGTGTCAAACCCTGATTGGTCTCTATCTTCTTGCTTTCCTGTGACTGTCATATGTTAACCATTTAATTCCTCTGATAAGCAGATTGCATTTCTCTGGATGATCTGATGGCAACACACTGACACTGCTGCAGTCATAGGCTATTTTATTTTAAACATAAACTCACTGGCCACTTTATTAGGTGCTCCTGTTCTATTGCTCTTTACTGAAACATGTAATCAGACAAATAATTAATGCATTTAGGCATGTATACAGTCAAGATGACCTGTTAAAGCTCAATGCTAGTGAATAAAGTGAATAAAGGTGATTTCAGTGCCAGACAAGCTGAACATTTCAGAAACTGATGATTTACTGGGATTTTTCCACAAATGAAAAATTGTGGAGGTCAGAGGAGAATGGTCAGACTGCACTGAGCTAATAGGAGGGCAACAGTAACTCAGACAACCACTTTGAATGCACAAGATGCCAAACGTTGGCCTACAGATAGGCTGCGGCAGCAGACGGCCTCACCAGGTGCCGCTCTTCTCAGTGGAAATTAGACAATAGAAAATTGCCTGGTCTGATTTCTGCTGTGACATTTGGACCCCTCAGTGCTAACTGAGGATTGTTTAAATGTCACAGCTTGCCTGAGTATTATTGTTGACCATGTCCAGTCCATCCCACATGACCCCTTATGACCTATCTTCTGATGGGGGCTTCCAGCAGAATAATGTGCAATTTCACAAAGCTCAGATCATCTTTAAACTGGTTTCTTGAGCATGTTAATAAGTTCACAGTAGTCATCAGATCTCAGTCCAGTAGAGCATCTTCGAGATGTGGCAGAACATTTTGAGATTAACATTTTGGATGTGCAGTTCACATATCTGCGGCAATTGTGTGATGCTGTCATGTCAATATGGTCCAAAATCTCTGAGGAATGTTTCCAGCACTTTGTTGAATCTATACCACAAAGAATCAAGTCCAGACATGGTCCAGTTCAATTTTGCTGTGTTGATTAAGGTCTTGGCTACATGTTTTTCATTCTTGTTGATTGTTATTGGTGTAGGAATCTATAAAGCACAATGTTTTTGCTTTGCAAAGCACAAACATCATCTTAAAAATTAGGTCAAGACGAAATTTTATTTATTTTTTAATTTTTCTTTTTTATTAAACCATCATATTGCCAAGAAAAAACAACAAAGATCAAAATTCACGTATTTACAGCACAGTTTTTGTCTGAAAATAAAGGAATATTAGGAAAAGTACTTTTAAAGAATGTCATACCAAAATGGCTTATCCTCAGTTTGGAAAAAACAAACAAACAAACAAACAAAAAAAACCAAACCAAAAAACACCCAAACAAACAAAGAAAAAAAGTGGCACAGTCATATGAATGGGTACTGCTATTTTATGTGTCCTGCATTTTGGAATGAATTCTCTATTTAGTGTTCAACACACAAGACAAATCCAAGTAATCAGTAGTCAGACAAATAAATTACAGAGAATACTGACAAACTCACACATACCTTTCAGTTTATATTTATTACAAAACCCCCCAAAAAAACTAAGGACATCAAAGGGAAAAATCAAACTACTGTGGACAAAACAAACATGTATATTTTTTTGCTGTTCTGTTTTGGACTGTGTGGACTGGTGTGAAATTTAATAAAATAGCCAATGGTTATGTTATTGTTAAGTGAATAAGTGTGGTAAAATGCATATGAATATCTTTTCATATTAAAAAGCTCAACAATACAAAAAACAAAAAAGTCTAACAATAATTTAATAATTACATGATGAACCCTAATACATAACCCAACTGTAATTTATAACTAAGAAAAATAAAGTGATAGGTTCTTACATGCCCAGTATGCGGTTTATAATTGTAGAACAGAAACTGCTGTCCTGTCAAGTGAATAAAAAGAAGATATACTGTAAATCTGCACTGTATGAGGAGTTATCAGAAGCCATGATATACTCTCTGTAGATGAATATAATAATATATGTGTAATTAAGACAATGCAATGGCTAAAAGCCAAGTGATTTATCATAACATTTATATACAAATTTTGGCCATGGTTTTATAACTTCCCTTTCTGATATTTATTTGTAAGTAAATAGAGTTGTGGTACATACAGTGTTGTTATAATAATAATAATAATAATAATAATAATAATAATAATAATAATAATAATAATAATAATAATAATAATAATAATAACTACAGTAAGAACTAAAGAAGATCTTCCCAATTCTTGATGTAACCCGTTTAACTTGACCTACATTGTACCTTGTGACTTAAGTAGTTTTATTTACATTATGGTCAGATCTGTGCTATTATTCTCACCTTTTTTATATTTTATTACATAATGTACAGTAGGTATCCAGAAAACGTGGAATGGACATACTGACCAGCATAAAGTCCTGCTGCCTGCTCCGATGGTAGCTGTATATGCACAGTGTCTCCTTTTCTTAATGGGAGTACAGCACTCCCTGAAGCCTGATCTAGCAATCCCTTTTTATACTCATCATAAGTGTACATAACTGGCTCATTATTCTTCATCAGTGCCACCCACACATTACTTCCTTTGCAGTGTACGTTGTAAGAAAAGTAGTAGATCCCTGGTATGCTACAGGTAAAAACACCATTCTGAGGACTGTAGTCCTGATTGCCATTGTGCAAGAGTTTGTCAAAGATGACAGGGGAACCCACAGGGGGGAATGGATTTGTGAGTTTAGCTGTGAATGCAGGCAGCTCAGGGCCATTTCCACCAATCTCACCTCCATTTGGGTTCTTGTAACCTTGTTTTTGGCCACTGTATGGGCCAGTCATAGGAAGGATCTGTCCAAGGTCAGGAAATGTAGCAGGTTGTCCAGGAGGTCCAGGGGGTCCAGGTTGTCCCGGTTGCCCTGGAAATCCAGGAGGACCACTGGGACCGGGGTTACCTTGTGGACCAACAAGACCTGTGGGTCCTGGGGCTCCCTCACCAGGATAGCCAGGTTTACCTGGTAAGCCTGCATCGCCTTTTCGTCCAGGAAGCCCAGGGGGTCCAATTGGGCCCCCTGGTCCTGCAAGCCCTGGAATACCTTGTGGCCCCTGGGGGCCTTTCTCTCCAGCCTGTCCTCCTTCTCCTCTTGTTCCTGTTAATCCTGCAGCACCAGGGGCACCAGGTAAACCCCTAACACCAGCTTCTCCTTTTGGGCCAGTGGACCCTTGTAAGCCTCTTGGTCCTGGTTGCCCACCCTCTCCTGATCTACCAGGTTGTCCGGGAATCCCTGGAGGACCTGTCTGACCCTTTACTCCTGGATTTCCTCTTGGTCCTATGACACCATCATCTCCTTTTAATCCTGGGAAGCCAAGACTACCAGGAAGGCCTATTGGACCTGGTGGGCCAGGTATTCCACTTGAACCAGTGGGACCAATGACACCTGTGAGACCTGGGTGACCTTTATCACCTTTTGGACCTGGTGCTCCAGGAAGACCAGCATGTCCCTTATGACCCTTAGGTCCTGGAAACCCTGGTGTACCATAACCTGGCAAGCCTGGGTTCCCTGGTAAACCAGGGAGACCTGGTTCCCCCTTCCCTCCAGATACCCCCGGGTGCCCACTGAAACCATCTTTTCCTGGTTTTCCAATTCCTGGTACACCTGGTACGCCTGGTTGGCCTCTTTCACCAGGTGCCCCTGCCAGTCCTGGTTCTCCAGGAGAACCAGGCTTTCCTGGTATTCCTGGATGTCCAGGAAGACCATTCATACCAGGTTTACCAATGCCAGCAATGCCCACCTGTCCAGGTGGACCTGGTGGCCCACCAGGCCCTTTCAAGCCTGGAAAACCAGGTATACCAAGTCCTTTGTCTCCTTTGGGGCCTGGAGGACCAGGAAGCCCAGGCAGACCTTTTTGGCCAGGCTCCCCTAGAGGACCTCGCTGTCCTGGAAGTCCCTGATCTCCTGCTTTTGGAATCCCAGGGAGTCCTGAGGGACCTGGAAGTCCTGGAGGCCCAGGAGGTCCAGTTACGCCTACATCACCATTAGGACCAAGATCACCTTTTGATCCTGGTAATCCAGGTCCTCCAGGTTTTCCTGGCAATCCTGGCATACCAGGTTTTCCAACTCCTGGGTAGCCAGAAGGACCAGGAGGGCCTGGCTTTCCTGGTAAACCTGGCAATCCCTGTCCTGGAAGCCCAGGAGGGCCTTGTGGTCCTGGTGGTCCTGTTGGCCCTGGGGGACCTTGAATTCCTTGCAGTCCCTTTGGGAGACCTTTTACCCCTGGAACAGGAGGGCGTGGACCTTTAGCTCCTCTGGGAAAGGTTTGTCCTGTCAAGGAAAATACTAAAAGAGGTAAGTGTTGACCCACTAAATAATGATCTGACATGATCAGTTATCAGCAGTGTTGGGAAGATTACAGAATACATGCCCCAAAATGTATTTTGTAACGTATTCCGTTACGTTACTCAATGAGAGTAACGTATTCTGAATACTTTGGATTACTTAATATATTATCATGCTTTTTTACAACTACATGAATGTCCTATTGCTTTTTGCGACATTACTATTACTATTATGGTTACTCGCCATACCAATAGCAACTAGATTTTTAAATCTTAATATAAAATGAGTAACAGTAGGGTGGACATTTGGTACGGCTGCACTTTTTGCAGTCATCTTGTATAGAAGATGACTTTCGGTGCAGTCATCTCGTATAGAAGACGACTTTCGGTGCGTATATAAAACAGGTCCGTGGCTCTGAAGCATAGTAAAGGAACCTGTGGCTAATATGTCAGGTTCCGTGTCGGCTCGTAGCCGAAAACTAGCTTTACTTTGTCGTCTGGGTCAGCTTTGCTAGCGAGAGACAGCGAGGCGTTGAAAGGCTGCTCCAATGGAACTTATTGTTTCGGAGGAAAACACGAACACAGTGTACAGTCGAGTCTTAATAGCTTACTTACAACTGGGCTCATCAGGCACTCTTTTTGGCTGCAGTGGTTATTATTATATTTACATGCAGTTTCTGCTCACAGAGCAGAAACTGTTTAGGTGTTTCTGCTCAGTGACAACTCGTACTTTTCCACTCACCTTTTTCTCCCTCCCTCGCTCACAGACACATAACGGGTATGGCAGTCCATTCTCCCTGCAGCACAGACTACACTGCCCATGAGGCTACATTCTTTAGGGCTATGCCTTTAATACTCTGGCCTATTGCCTTCGTATTAAATCATTTTTAAAAATATTTCTTCACGTCATTATGAGACGCGAGATTGAGACACAGGCATTTGAGCCTCTTAATGTGTGTTTTGTTTGGGTTTCCACCGGTGTGGAATTACCAAAAATAGAGAGGGGATAGCCTAACATATGAAACAGGAAAAGAACGCCGTGTAATCCCTTTATTTCAACAAAGTAGCTGTATTCTGAATACCACCTTTTTAAACGGTAACTGTAACGTAATACAGTTACTCATATTTTGTATTTTAAATACGTAACGGCGATACATATTCCGTTACTCCCCAACACTGGTTATCAGTAGTTAGTGATCGATGTTAACTAAAAAAAATTTAATACAGTTACAATGTAGCTTGCCATCACCAGTGTGTGAATGGGTGGATGACTGGATATGTAAAGCGCTTTGGGGTCCTTAGGGACGAGTAAAGCGCTATATAAATACAGGCCATTTACCATTTACCATTTACTACTCACTGCATCTGAAAATGGATGACCCCTTATTAGGTCATTTGATTATAAATAAATGAACTAATAATGAACTAAAATAATTATTTACAGTGCTGTTGAAATAATGAAAACAGACATAATGAATCTATTGTAAAGTAAGTCGCAAAAGCACAGGAGGAAAGAAAACCAAGAAAAAAAAAGAAAGAAAGAAAATTCAAAACCAGGGAGCGCTCCATGTAAATAATTAATTTATTGTAGCAGTGCACTTAAGTTAATATCTTGTCAGTTTTACGCCATCTCCCCTGTATTTATAATGGAATTTGAAGGCACTTTTTAGTAAAAAGGTGTTAGTTAGTCAATGCAAAAAAGCTAAGAATTTAGTTCATGTCATATGTTGGAATATACAGATAAATATGTCGATGTTGATCTTATGTGCTGCACAATAATTTTTAATATTTAGTATTTACTGTTATATTCCCATAGATCATCGTAATGATGTTGTTTATTATATTGCTCTCTTTTTTTCTGCTTGTTTTCTCTTTTTTCTTTCTCAACAGGTGATCCAGGTGATTGATATATGTATTTTTTGTCTGCTTATTTTGTTGGTTTTTGTTTTTTTGCCCTTTATCACCATTCCTCTTCCCCTCTGTTTTTCTTTCCCTCTTTCTTTCTCCCCTTTCTTTTCCCCAGTCAAGTCTGTCCTGTATTTAGCAGGTTAAAATAAAATAAACAACAAAAGGCGAATCAAATAGACCAATACGGCAAGGCTGGGTTGGTCGATTTGGTAAAGTAAATCCGTTGGGCATCTTTCTTTGCCTTTAGACAATAATTCTGATGGCAAAAGAGCCAAACAGGACAGGCAAAAAACCCCAAAAGAATACATAGATAAATATGTAAAAAGGACCCATTGACGTATTTGATCTGTTTTACAGCAGGTTGTTAGTTTATTAATTATGGTATTAGAAAAGATGCAGGAGCTAAAAGTAATTTTTCACAAACATATTGAACTCACCTTTGCCATCTGTCAGTGGTCTCTCTTTACCCATGTGCAATGGTGGTTGAGGAAACTCTTGTCCATACTGAGGAAGTATTGGCATCTCATTCTCCAGAAACTGTTGCTGTGGATATGCATCATATTGTGGCAATGGCTGGGGCTGTTGGGGTGGCTGTTTCTGTCCATAATACACCCCACCATGAGCAAGGTATAGTAAACATAGCTGTAACACTGTGATGAGAAGATAGAAAGAATGGAGGGATACAGCCACCATTTTCTGCAATTGAGAAACAAAAAGTGGAACTATAAGACAGATATAAAGATTTCAGTGAAATTAAATGAAAGCATCTACACACATGAAAAATCTTCATTTCTATCTTCATATCATATCTATATATCTCGTTAGCGGTATCCTTGAGGGTATCTTGAAGGTATCTTGATTCTTTAGATGAATATCAATTAGTTTCCAAAACCACTACACATCTTCCCATAAAATACAGAAAATGCTGTTTTGTAAAAGCAAATAAACTTCACAATTTGTATCACAAGTAAACAGTTTTATTGGTTGACATTGATACATATATTTGTATAATGAATGTATTATTTACTTCTAGGTAATTTACTTAATTAATGTGAATAGTTTGGTCATTTAGGGTGTCTTGTGCTACTCATCAATGGGATAAATGCTGTGCAAACAGCATTTAATTATTTAGAGAAGAAAATAATAATAATTAAGCCTCTTAATGGTTTATGGCCATGCTCTTAAACCATACTGGTACATAGATGAATTCAAATGCCAGCTTTCAAGAGCTTACAAAATTCACTTGTCAAACCAAAGAAATCACCCAAACCCTCCACTGCACATATGTGACCTAGCTTAGCTATCTTCTCAGAAACACTGTGTAAAAGCCTCCCACATCCTTGAAGTGATTCACACATACATATTATAATTAAGAGGCCCTACAGGGGATGTGGCCAGTTTTGAACATAATCTTTAATTCTTTAAACATGTCTGCGCTAAGGAGATCAGCTAAGCACTGCCAAAAGCACTGTGTGAAAATAAACACTGATGGGTGAATGCATGTTTTCCTCAGCTGCAGTGTTTGTGTGTTCTGAAACCGAACCAAAGAGATCAAACATTTTGGAAAGCTGCAATAACTGAAGGCTTGCTTACATTTTTTAGAGCAATTATTCTAAAAAGAAAGCCAAGTTGTGTTGGCTGGATGTTTCCAGGGGATTATTTTTAGAATGGAAATACTTATGTGTCTAGTTTCTCTGCAAAATCAGCATGTTAGAGATGTTAGAGTTGATTTGAATATGTTGCAGTAGCTATTGCACAGGTTGCCATCTACTGCAGGGTTAACATTGAGATGTGGACACCCATTCAGATATGCACACTTACAGCCAGTTTGGAATCTTTGTACTGTGGGAGGGAACCCACACAGGAACAGGGGGAACAGGCAAGCTCTACACAGAGAGGCCCCAGCTGACTAGTGGACATAAACCCAGGACTCACTTACAGTGAAGTGACTGCACTTCTCATCTAACTATATACATATTTCAATATCAAATAATTAATTGCTAGAGAAAACTACCAGCAGAAGCTTTCAGAATCTTCTCTCCACCATTTTCTAAAAGCCTCATAATGTTATTGAACAATATCTACATATTTCAAGGTTATAAGTTTGATCCTGAGATAAGCCAAGAGGCAACATAATAGCTTAGCATGTAAAAAGTCTTCAGTAAAGTCTTTAGAGTTCAAGTTCGAGTCTGTGTGAGTGTCGATCTCCAGTAATTGAAAAAACTACTAAAAAGCACTCAAAGACAGAAAGAGTCTTGGATGTGCTTCAGACGATTTTGACATTGTGCATTCAACATTCAAACTACTGTGCTTACAAAATACCAACACACATAACACAGCACCTTTTGCAGTTGGTGCCTAAAAGTCTAAAAAACCTCAAAAAACCTAATCTTGATTCCTCTGTCCTTGCAAATTTTAGACCTATTTCTAAGGTCTCGTTTCTGTCATTTCAGTGTCTCGATAAAGTCAAGACTCGAATGGCGTAAATGTTCTTAATTTTAACAAGGAAAAAAAAGTGATCATCTTTGGACCAAGCTGTAATTCCAGTACCCCAGATCTTGACCTGCGCAGTTTAGTACCTTTTGCTAAACCGCATACAAAAAATTTGGGGGTTATACTGGATAATAAGTTTACCTTTAAGAAACAAATGAACTCTGTTGTACAGCGGTCCTTTTTAAAATTGAGGCTCTTATCCAAGGTGAGATCATTCTTATCCTTTATCTTTGATGTCATTTGTTACTGTGTAATTTTTATCTTTGTACAGCACTTTGGTCAACATTTTGTTGTTATTAAATGTGCTATATAAATAAAAAATAAAATAAAGTAAAAGGCTAATTAAAAAACTTTAAAAGGGGGAGTTACTGTTTGAGGACTGCTTGTCAGTTTGGACAGTCAAAAGCTTAACTGTCAGTTTGGAGAAATTTGGAGGTTCTAAGTTCAGGCGTTCACTGAGTTTTTGAAGGATAACAGTGAGAGTAAACAGTGAAAAGCTCTATGAATGAACACCTCAAGTGTAGCCTGGAAGTACTAAAGCTAAAGCTTACTGAAGCTGGGTTTGATTCTTATCAGAATTTGGTAATTTATGAAGTCTCGGATCTAAATGCTTCAAGAAAACCAGTTTAAATATGTGATTAAACAGCACATATAGACTAGAGATTAATTTTGAAAGGAAAGAGTGAAACTCTAGTCCGGTCAAATAGGTCAGACTGCTTGAAGCTGTGGAGTCTGTTCTTATGAGAGCTGTTATAGTTTGAAGCACAATACCAACAATGAAATGTTCAGAGAAAAACCTAAATGCCATACAACTCACAGTTAACTGAAAGTTAATTAAAAAAACAACAACATTAAGAATAAAAAAGATCACACTTAAACACTGCAACACTGATTCACAACCACTCCTGAAGTGAACTTTTGCTTCAGAACTGATATGATCATAACTGAATGACAAATTGTAATGAATTCTGTATCACCTTTTTGTTTTTCAAAGAAGAACATGGCCTTTAATATCACTGACTGTAACTAACTGTCAGAACTAGCAAAACATTTGGGATGAAGCAGTTGCTGCTGCTACTACCCTAATGTAACCCATCAACACTGACCGTCTATTACCCATATGGCATAAATAACTGATAACTGATATCGTTAATATTTAAGTAAACTTCCTCAGCATTCAAACTTTGTGTTTCTTTCATGTCAGTGCACTCACATTTATTTGTTACCCAAATGCTCTGTTGTTTGGCTAAAGCTAACTTGGGCAAAAATATACGTAAATACATGGAAATCTATGGGTAAGGTCTATGACAAGTTACAGAGATATCACCCCAATTAGAGAAACCACCTGAGTCAAAACATGGGGAAGCACCCGTTACATTTGTGCAGCTGGTTCATGGAGGAAAGAGACGTAGGTCATAATGTGGAACAAAGTGTTAAATACAGTGAAAGTGAGACCACTGCAGCCATTATGCATGCCTTTTTATATTTTTTCATGCGTCTTCCTTGTCGTGAGCAAATGTTTCTACCAGTGCACTACTGGGCTGTTTTTGGAGGACTGCACACAAACAGTTCTGTGTTGGTTGCATACCCATAGTCCTTTCCTCTGTGTACTCAAAGACCTATGCAATGGTTCCATAAATCCGCCCTTAGGCACAAAATATTTGAAAACTCACTGTTGGAACATTTAATTTAAATAGTCATTAAAATTCCAGAGTTTCAGCTGCTGTTTTACATTTTTAATGAATTTCTTCCAGAGAAAAAAAGAACAGACCGCTTCAATAAAAAACGATTTGCCAACTGACTGAATTTCAGTCATGTCAGCGTTTTAATGTCACATTTTAGGCAAGACAATCTTTTGCTTTTCGTGCATCTTCAAACATTCAATCTTGGAGCAAAATCACTTGTTTAATCTTTTTCAGCTATAAAGCCAGCAGGAGACTGATCCTCAAATATTGAGCTTCTAAGCAGAACATGGTTTCACACGTTGGGAATTCGCTCTGCAGACAAAAAAGGAACACATGTTTGGCAAGGAAATAACAAAGAGGACCTCCAAGGATATGCCACTCTTCATGGCTCAGAGACATAAAGCATACAAAAACACACCCAGTTTTAACGGGTTGGTTTGCTGCAAAGCAAACAACCCAAGTACATGTTATGCTCGGCTAAGTTCTTTATTATTATTTTTCTTCCTTGGCATTGCCTCCCACACCATTTGTCATAGTGAGCAAAAATTAGCTGTGAGGCGACTGTTTCTATGCAGTTTTAGTTTAGGTTTTACCGTTTTCAAACAGTTAATTAACAATTTGTTGCAAAAACATCATAAAAATTCCTTCCTATTCTCCCCATTGGGTACACCTGTGGCTAAACACTATTGGGTACACTTAGCAGACCATATCAGTAAGTACACCTGTCACTGGCCGGCCACTTTTTAGGCACATCTGTATACACACTACGACTGTTTTGTATAAAGTATACACATGTCTAGCCAAATTTTGAAGAGGTGGCAACAGACAATATTTGGTAGGACATGTTGTGGCAGATCTTTTATACAATATATATAATTTATTTATCCAGATAAAAGGTATTATTGAGATTAAAAATGGCTTTTCCAAGTGGCAAGTATAGTATAACAAATTATGGAAATGAACACAACTGACATTCAATACAGGCAAGTGCACACAAACATCCGAATCAAAACGCAAGCACGGTCCACTCTACACCAGTGTTGTGGTGCTGTGATACAGTTGAAGAGTTTATTGAAGCTTATTAACTGATTGTGTCACGCTGTCAGGGTATCTGCCCTTAATTATACAGCTAGCCTTTATTTACAGACGGTCGATATCATCAGTCATTTTTTGGTTTACAGACGGTTTAATGGGAAAGCAATTGGAGCGTCTAGACCACAGACTAAATTGCAATAAGTATTGAATTCTAATGACATTGCACTATGTGTTTAGCTTTGATACTTGAGTACCTTGCGTGGCAAACATTATAACACAACAAATAAAGAAACCTGAATCATTTTGTTCTGGGTTATTACACTTTTCCCATCACAACGGCTGCAGTAAAATTCTCATGTATTTGCTTTCCACCTTCGTTTTAAGATTTAAGAGGAACAGCTTCTCCCGGCACAACGAAAGGTTTGCAATTCTTTATCAAGAAGCATGTAGTTATGAGGTGCTTAAAGTAAAAGCACACGCTCT